ACCGGGGACTGTAACTTGTAAGAGATGGAATTGCCCCAGTTGACCATGTAGGTGAGCAAGTATTTAACCCCTAAAGCATTCTGGTTGGAAGTTGGGCAAGCACACCTCAGGGATTTCTGGAGAATGAGTCCCGCGGTCAGATTCAGGAAAACATAGGGGTTCTGAGATATCGAGGACTGGCAAGTGGTGAGGCCTTGGTAGGTGTTGTTGGCCACCGTGAAGTTTCGTATCCGTGCTTGAGTGTGTAGTTGACGTTATGCTGGTAATATTGACGGGCATAACAGGAGCAGTTGACGGGAACCACGACCTGGGAGGTGGTGGGAATGGAGGCATTTTCGGAGGAGATGTGATTGATGGAGGCGATAAGAGTGGCTGCTTGTGGGACGCCTAAAAGTTTGACAATAAGGGAAAGAGAGTCATGGGGAGTCATAGATCGGAAGGTGATGTAAGATTGGCACGAAGTTTTTACTCCGTTACACACAAATCGTTTTTAGTCGTGTTTTCGAAATTGTCGCAGTGCAGTTCTACTGTTCGTAAAAGCAGCCGCGGCCGCAGCCTCGTTAATATTATTAAATATTAGTATTATATAAGTCAGATGAAAAGTATTTTAACATGTAATATTTATATATTTTAATTGAAATTTTAAATTTTAAATAGTTTAATAAAATAATAAAAAATATTTTATATAAAGTATTATTTATTTTATGATGTAATAATAATGGTTAAATCTATAATATTTAAATTAAAAATCATTAGTATTAATATATATATATATTTTAAATTATTTTATAACTTTAATTTCAAAAGTATTTTTAATCTTTAAATTATTTTTTATTTAACCTTAAATTTAATTACAATTTTAACCAAATATACATAAATACCAAATCAACTTCAATCAAAAATATCTTTTATAAAATATTTTTTTCAAATCACAACTATAAAATTTATCACCATACAAATTCTAAAATTAGTGATCATATTATTCTATATCAGGAATTTAGTTTTAATTAACATATAAATTGATTTGAGAATTCTTTGTATTTTATATATATATATATATATATATATATAAAAATATTAAAAGCTTTTGCTGTAGTATAGTTAGCTGATATTATTCCATATTCAGACACGAATATATTTCCTGACAGACAAAACTTTCCATGTTCTGGAGCATAAAGAATTTTCAGTTCCTGGAAGTCGACCCTTGCGGATAAGGAAATTCTTGAAGGGGGAGGGAATGAGGTGGACCAAGGTAGTAGGATGCTACAGAATGCCATAATAGAGCGATCAAGAAGGGTGAGAGCGAAGCGAGGGAAAGCTAATGAAAAAGAAAAACATAAAAATAGAACTGCTCTGAATAAAAAAAAATAGTAAGTACAGATATAATGCTATTATTCTATACAACTAATAAAAAAAATAAGTAAATTTTATTGCAATAAAATAGCATCATATCACCTAAAAGAAAAGATAATCGAAGAAAAATCATTCGGTCCCTTTTATGATATTTGTTTGCTCGTATATGTTTTTCCATTCAAAGTTATTTCTTCTGCAGTCCTCATTTACTGTATTTAATTATTCTCAGCATTTCCAAATCTAACATTATTTTTTACTGATGATGGGTGCCATGGCATCCCCAACACAAGCTGAATAAAGAAAAGAAAAAGTGAAGGTAGAAGGGTAAAATTGTAGATTTTGAAGGGTCAATTTCAGAATTTCATTTGGTGAGACAGTTGCTAAGGTTTTAGGGTTTTGAGATTTTAGAAGGATGATAATGAATAGTGCAAAGGAAAGAGAAGGCAGTCTTCTTGTTTTTTCGTTTTGTTTGTGTTCTGGAAAGGTACGCGCGGGCGCTGCTGGACAAGGAGTGGGGGAGGATGAGAACTTTTGTATATTTTTTTAATTTCTTGAAAATATATCGTGAGCTATGAAGTGTTAACAAAATCTAGTGATTAATTTGTCAGTCTTTGTACATCTTGGCACGCACCCCAAAGCTTCAATTTATAGGCACGCCCCATGATAGCCTTAGAAGGATTTAAAACGTATCCAACCAAGAAAATACTTGTACTGTATTAAACCATTTTTAAATAAAAGCAAGGCTCCCAATTTTGGGCTCTTCTTCTGGCATCAGAAACCAACCTTGTGGCTGGCCTCTGTCCTGAGGAGGACTGAAGTGGGCTTTCTTCGACCAAGAAATATTTATGTTGTATTAAGCCATTTTTAAATAAAGTGAAGGACAACAGCCACAGAAACAGGCTCCCAACTTGGGCTCTTCTCCTGGCATCATAAACCAACTCCGTGGCTTCTCCAGTCTGTCTTGAGGGGGACTGAAGTGGGCTTTCTTCAACCAACCATGTCCTCTATCCCTTCTTCAATGCTTTTCTCCTCCTCGCCTCGTCCTCCTCCTCCGCCTCAAGTGCTTCGTGTCAGCTCGCTCTACACAGCAAAGCCTTCCTTCTCCGATTCCATGGCTACTTCTGCTCCCAAGTGGGCGCAGAAGACTATTACTCTACCCCCACACCGCCGTGGCTGTCATCTTATTACCCCTAAGGTTTCTTCTTCTCTTCGCATCGAGATTTTTTAGCTGGATTCAAGAGAGATTTCTTTTTTGATGAGAATACTAGCTAGTATATTCAATTTATGAAAAAATAAAATTTGTGTAGTTCTGTTTCTTTACGTACCACTGCTAACAAGAACAACAACAATAGTATAGGCATGCTTTTACTTTCGAATTAACTAATTGATTTTCCCTTATTATTATAAAACATAGATACTGAATGAAATTGGGAGTGACTTGTCAGAATTCAAGTGCGGCCTTGCTCATCTCTTCTGTAAGTGAAAAAAAGCCTCATTTTTTGTTTTATTATTCATTGTTTCGATGATGTATGTCTAAGGAATATTTCTATTTTAGTGCATCACACAAGCGCCTCTCTTACTATCAATGAGAATTACGACTCTGATGTCCGAGATGACACCGAGACTTTTCTCAACAAAATTGTTCCTGAGGTAAATACCTCCCCCTCCTTTTCCTTTCTCTTTCATTTTACCAACAAGATTCAGTCTTTGGACTCTCCTTCTTACTTTCCTTTATTTCCTATGTTTTCAGGGAAGATCTGCTCCTTGGAAGCATACCCTCGAAGGTCAGTGTTTCTGTTTTTGTCCTCAATTTTTAAATGCAATGAATTTTCTTTTTATTTGTTCCCTCGTCCAGCAACTAAATAGATATAGAAGAGGGATTGTGAAAGTACCACTATTTATGTTTCTGATCTCGTCTAGTTTGAGATTTATCCTCCTATATTAATCAATCTCTGCATTTAACACTTTTGCAGGTCCAGATGACATGCCGGCACACATTAAATCATCAGTGCTCGGATGTTCCCTAACGTGCGAATACTTGCTACTCATACTTTATTTACTCCTTTTTTTTTCTTTTTTTTTCTTTTTTTTTTTATACGTATTCTATCATTTACGTAGTTTCTATTCCTATTCAGGATTCCAATCACTGATGGAAAGCTCAATATGGGCACTTGGCAGGTTTGTGAACATCCTTTCTTTTGGATTCCTTATGATCACGAGCTGATGCTCGGTCATGTACATGCATTATTAACAGATGCTTTCCATTTTAATTATAAATAATAGGTGGTCTGAATGCTTTAATTGCACAAGTAGTTGTTGATGCTCAGTTTCCTCTTGTTTTGTTTGATAAAAAATGCTTAGCTTTTTGTTGCCACACTGGTATTCGTTGGTTTATACTTCATATGGTTATAGAACGACCATTATTGAGAATAATATGTTGTGCTGAACCAGTACATCAAATTAATGTTTTGGAATGTTTTGAGAGCATGTAGAAGGGAACATCTTTTTTTCGGAATTGAGATATCTTTTCCTTTTCTTTTAATTAAGAAAGAAATTGCTTGGAATTGAGATATCTTATTAACTAGGATTTCCAATGTGTACGAATACTAGGTAATTTGAGGCTGTAATAGTGTGCATTGACCTCCACATATTTTATCTCTAACATTGCAGTACAGTATTGATAACAATTCCCTTCTTATATTTACTGTTCTGGTTCAGGGAATATGGCTGTGTGAGCACCGGGACCACCCTACTGCGCGTAAAGTTGTGGTTACCCTTAATGGAATATGAGGAGCTGGTATTTGGATTTTGTGTATTTGTTACTTAAAATGATGTTGTGGCAGATTATCGTGCCTGTTTCACATTTTAATGGGACATCCCGTCCTTGTTATGTTCCTGGACTCGGCGTTCTGATGACTTTGAGCATATTAAAAACTAGATTCATAGAATAAATTACAGCTACAAGATAAAATCCCATTAGCTTGTGCGTCCCAGGTATTTGGATTTTTAAGATGCAACTGCTGATGAATGAAATGCATACCAGAAAAAGGTTTGCTTCCCATCAACACGATAGCAGCAGAATGTCATCATTCTATGTCAAGTCAGTGCTGGAGCATCATTTTTAGGGTGATACGAGCCATCTTTTCCAAGCCAACAGTTACAATCGAGCAGAATTGAACGCAGCCACAATAGAAAAACAAAGGATCTTCTTGAACCCCAAGCCGCTGGAAAATCCCAGCAACGCTGCTCCAGAGGAGTCTGAACAAACCCAAAGGAGGCCCAATGTGAATGAAACCCAGCTCGACTAGACCCCATAAGAAAACTGAGAGAGAGGCGTAAATGACCCCTCTCAATCAGGAACATAGGAAGCATGACCAACCGAAGCCCATAGCAAAGAAAGCGAATTCCAGCCGAAACCTGCCAAAATCAAACCACGTTGCATCCAGGAGAGATTCAGCTCACGTCATGGGAAAAGAAGAGGCGTGAACAGTCTCTCTGGTATCCACGCAGTAAAATTCCCACGGGGTTTTAGAGTTTCTGTTAATATTTCCGGTATCCACGCAGGCAATAGATTAAGAATGGGAAGAAATAAATTCGTGTGAGTTAACAGTTATTGATATCCCAACGAACTTACAGTTAATCAAATATGCACAGAAAAATAATGAATATTTAACAAATCAAGGAGAACAAATGAATCAAGGAGAGATGGATTCGAACACTCAAATAGTTCACAAAGAATGGTATCGGTTTTGGAGAGCGGAGCTATTAACCACTTGGCCATTTTCTATTCTACTATTTTATTTTTATTTCCACTGATAGAACGCGGATGTACATGTATGAAGTGGCAGAAGGGCAGGGCATGGATGGGAATGAACTAGCGCATCATGACAGCAAACTCCTGGAAGCTAAGAACACCGTCCCCATCGAGGTCGAAGGTGCGGATCATAGCCTTGCAGTCGTTGATAGAATTGGACTCCCCCATTCGACTCAACATCCGCTTCAAGCTGGTGTGAGTGATGCAGCCAGAGCCAGGTTCAGTCTCGTACAATCCAAAAGCCTGTCTGAGATCCTCGGTCTTCTCTTCCTCTGAAGCATTGCCTGTCATCAAGCATAGGAAGTCCTGGAACCCCAAAAGCCCGTCACCATCCATATCAGAGAACCTGATGGCAGCCTCAGCTTCCTCGATGGAAAGCTTACCTCCAACAGAGGTAATACAGGACTGCAACTCAGCAGGAGATATCTTTCCATCTCCATTTTCGTCAAAGCAATTGAAGACCCTTCGGAGCTCATTGTTGTGATCTACCACATTTAGAGCACTAGTTGAGTTGTTGACGCATGTGGGATGTGGTTTATCGTGGGATTTCCTTGGAGATAGTTTACGACGTAATCTTGCAAGAGGAGATGAATTGGCGGGAGTTGAATAAGGTGGAGATGAAACCGAGTGTGATTTCATGATATATATAGCTAGCTAGCTAGATAGCTGCTGGGTTGAGGTTTGGGATATGTAGCCTAGCTAGTGCTTTTTTGAGTTTTGATTGTAGAAGAAGATGAGATAGCTGAACTGGAGAGGGGAGTAGATAGGAAGAGAAGTAGAGGCGAGTTGTGTTTGTAGGGAGTATGGTTATAGGAAAGGGAATGGTCATGGAAATATATAAAGGTTTCGTTTTGGGGGCTGATTTTTTATAATTGATGTCGTCATGCTCAGGATCCGGGGTGTAAAAGACGTGGCTGAAGGAATGGATAAGTCAGTGAAGAACACGGTTTTGCTGGGCAAGACCGGCCAGTTGTATCTTTTTTAAAAGATCTAGAATCCAGACGCGGAAAGGAAGCGCGTGGAGGAAGCTTCCCTCCTTCTTTACTATTATTTCCTCCTCTTCCTTGTCCTTCTGGGCATTTCTAGTATTTTATTTCTATTAACTAGAAAATTAAAAAAGATAGATTTGTTTAAGAATATAATTATGGTTATTTTAAAAAAAAAATTAATATATTAAAATAATATTTTTTATTTTTAAAAATTATTTTTGATATTAATTTATTAAAATGATCTAAAACTACCAAAACAATATTAATTTGAAGCAAAAAAATAGAATAAATTTAAATTTCTTTAAAAATATTTTTAAAATATAAAAATATACAAAACTTGAACAAGAAAGGAACAAAAATGAAAGCTTTGTCAAAGCATATTTATTTTGTCTTAGTCATGAGCTAATTAACCATACCAAGTTTCTTTTGAAATTGAGATTTAATTTATTTTTAAAAAAAATTAATTCTCTTATTTTAAATTTATTATTTATAATCGTGTTGATGTTAAAAATAGATTTTAAAAATAAAAAATATTATTTTATACACAATTTTAAGAAACACACTTTAACAAAAAATCTCTATCATTTCAAAATTACTCATCCTTCAGGTGACTTTACTAATCAATTTCCTTATGCTCCACTTTATCTCGAACTCCCTCCTAAATCTCAAAACAAATAAACAGTAAAACTATGACTTAGTTTATATATATATATATATATATATATATAAAACAAAATTAAAGCACGAAAACAAGAAAATTAGATGAATCACATCCTTGGGAAACAAAATTAAATCCCACTCTCGTTGTGCATGGAAATGTTTCTCTCCATATATATTGTCTCTTCACCTCTTTACAAACAAAACAAAATTAAAAGAGAAATCCCTAACCTCTCCTCCTTCCTCTAATTGATGTTATAGCGGTCAAGAAAATGGCGTCGCTTCAACCCTCTTTGGTCAATCCTAATTCTCTCGTTTTCTCACCCTTCTTTCCATCGATGCTGAAAGATTTATAACTTGGAATTGTGATTGCATTCTGGACATTGACGATAAGTATGCTGAGTTTGTGAAAGAGACATCGTGATTGGGCTGATCAGTTGCATGCATGCTCTGTTCATTTAACGTTTACAAAGAACAAGACAAGGAGAAAGAACTTGAAAAACGTTGGTCATGGCTGCTGCTGCTTCTTCTCCTCTAAACACATGAGGTCATCATCATGCATGGCTTCGTTTAGCAAGAACAAGATTCAAGTTTCAAGTTTCAAGTTTACAAAAGATAATATATGATGTTATTAAAGAAGAAGAAGCAATACTCTCCAACACATGTTATCACCGTGACCCCAAGTGTATCCATGTTGCAAAAGAAGAAATAGCTAAAGTTGAGATTTTTCACAAACTCAAATAAGATTGGTTATTCTCATGGATGTGTAATAGCAGGATGATTATTTTTTTATACGTATCCATAAAAATGGTCATTACCTTGAATTTAGTTAACTATCATGTCCAAATACACAAGGTTTGGTATCATTACCACAATCATTAAATTTATCGACGAGATTTTTCATGGGTAAAAAAATTACCGATGAAATCATTGATGAAAAGTCTTTATTGGTTAATCTTTCATCAGTAATTATTTATCTGTTGATAAGTGTATTAGTAGTAAAAAATATTATTACCGATGGATATATTGACAAAAAAGGTGAGCGAAATTTTTTTTCATTACGTCAATAATTCCATCGAAAACAAACCTTATGTAATTTCATTGGTAATTATTTTAATATATATATATATATATTAAAAAAATATAAAATAATTAAATTAATAGTAATCAACACTCTATAATACTCAAAATGCTTGGAAAAAAAAAGAAGAAAATCAAATCAAAAAAATTTGCAACAAATAAATAACATGAAAAAAAATTCATATGAAAAAATTTTAAAATCATATAAATAAATCAACTACAAATTGATCTCATATGAAAAAAAAAATTCCCACAACAACATTCATACAATTACTAAGAACAAAAACAATTAAAAATAAAATAAAAAACAAATATACTAAAAAAAACATGAAATAAGAAGAATTGTTTTTTTACCTTAATGTAGATGCAAATGAAGTTAAGAAAAGAGAAATAAAAAACAAATTCGTAAAGTAAACTAATTAAAAAAAACTTAGAAGAAAAAAAAAGAAAACATACTTGAGCAGGGAGGAGAAGAGAAAGTGTTGAGGAGAGAAGAGAAGAAACATACCTGAGCATGAATGAGAAGAGAAGGTGTTGAGGAGAAAAGAGATGAAAATGAAGAAGAAGAAGACATACCTATGCATGGAAAAAAAGAAAAGAAGTTGAGGAGAGAAGATAAGAAAAAAAAAAGAAGAAGAAAGGAGACATGTCTGTTGTGAAATTAGGGATTCTAGGTTTTTTATAAAGGTGTTTTACTAACAGTTTCACTAATGGATAATTAAATATTATTATTTTTAATTATTTTATCGGTGATTCCGTCTATAATATTTAATTTAAATTTTGAATTTAATAAAAAAAATTCAAAAACCATCAAATATCACCAACAACTTTTCAATTTATCGATGATTACATCTGTAATATTTAATTTAAATTTTTTAGAAAATCGCTAATTAACACCGACAACTTTTTAATTTGTCGATGATTTTTTCTGTAAAGAACAATAATTAACAGTGCAATTGGAAAGTGAATAGTTATAGAGCTCTTTGTAAAATACCAACAAAATATTTCGTCGATGATTTCTTTTGTAATTAACATGATGAATAGTATTAACAGATTACCAACGATTTTATTGATGAAATTACTGATGGAATAAATTTCATTGGTAATTCCGTTGATAAAAATAGCACATCATTATTTTTTTACTTTATTTTAATTATTTTTTTCACCATAATTTTCTCAGTAAATACTAAAGGAATATTTTTGTGAGTAAAATTCATCTGCAATTTACCTACAAAAATATTCTCTCAATATTTTTATTTATATTTATCAATTTTCTAGCAATTTGCAAGACCTGTGTTGTCTTGGACTTAATGAACTGTAAAATTTAAATGACTTAAATCTAATATCTTTATCACTCGCATTACCTCATTTTATTAGGCGTGTTGAAAAAAATTTCATGTTCATTTTATTATATGTATCTAGAAGATGATATTCATTACTTTTAAACTTAATTAATTATCAAGTTTAAATATAAATTCATATTACCATATTTATTTGAAAATACAAAAAAAAATGATCATTCTCTTGATCATACTAAAAAAAGGATGCATGTTTTTATGGTTGTGCCAAAAGCTTTACATATTCTCAAGTCCAGCACACTCGTACTAAATATATTATTAAGTTCAATAACATCTGGGTGTGGCTGACATCCGACCCAATATATCAAGACTTGAGATATTATCAAACTCAACTGTGAATGGATCTGCCTCATGCCAGATCCAGTATTCGCAAGATACACTAATAAGTCCCTACTTTAATTATGCTCATTCTCTTAGATATATTAAAAAAATTATAATAATTTTTTAAACTCGTTGAAAATAAGTTTATGAGCTGTTAAATTTAAATGATGTATATAAATAAAATAAGAATATGACGATGTGCGTTCGGTGATCACCATGACTCGGACTGTGTCAGCGAAAATAATTAATTAAGACTGATAGCAATTGAAGAATATCACAGAGAGCATCGGATGAGGAGGAGGAGTAGCCATAAATGGGGAATCGATATTATTGTGGGCCGGGTGACCCCACGATGCCCCACAGCCCCCAGGATTCGACAAGACTCGTACTGTACACGTACTGTCCTCTCCCAGCACTCCAGCAAAACACAAGCAAATTTTGATTAGTTTGCCGCGTGTTTTATGCGCGGGCTGGACATCGTGATAGGTATTTCCTCTAATCATTTCTGATTAACAATTCGAGGACTCAAATAATTAACATTTAGATATTTTATTTATAATATACAGAAAAAACTAAAAGGGCAAAAATACTGTTTTCTCTTTTCTACTTCCAGCCATTTCCTCCCCTTATTTCAGCCTTCAACAACACCCAGATCAAAACCCCCCCGGTTTTTTGTGAGAAAAAAAGAGGAGTTTTTTGGGAGAGAAACGAAGAGAGGACAGCACAACAACCGGTAGCTGGCATTGATGTGAAGGAGTCGACGGTGGATCCTTTCTTGGTTGAGGCTTTACAGAACCACATCTTCCTTACACCAGTTAGTGTTTGCTTCCTTTCACTTTCGATTTCTTGATGTGGTTTTAAGTTCTTTGCTAGTTTTGTTCAAGATTTTTGGTTATTAGCTTATTTAGATATGTTTGGCGATTTGGGTTTCTAGGATTTTGTTGTTTATGGATTTTTTTATGGATGTGTTTGGTTAAATTTGTATTTTTATTGATTTCTTAGGGTTTGTGATTTAATTTGGGAATTGGGGTTTGATTGATTTGGGGATTGGTTTATCTAGGAGCTTTGACGAAACTGGTATGTTTATGGAACTTATATTGTTAAGATCACTTAACAAATCAAGAAGAAGATGAGGCTAAGAAACAGAATGATAGTAGCAGAGAAGAGTCAGAGAAGAGATAAATGATATTAGCAAAGAGAAATGAGATCGAAATTGGACTGCAATCTATTCATATCCAATGTGATCCATACACTGCGCTTTTATAGTGATCAATATTAACTACCAACAGATTAATCCAACTAACTCTAACTAACTAACAGAATTCTACAACTAATAGCAGGTTGCGTGTCCCTGACGTTTGCCTTCCCACGGCAGCCTTCTTCTTGTTGCTGTTTCCCACCATTATTCCGCCATCCTGAATCGTAACATATAACTGGGTTTGTTTATGGAAGACTTGGAGTGGGTTTTTTAAAGGGACAGACCAAGTGTGCGAATGTGAGTAGATATCGTTATTATTTTTTGTTGATTTCACGGTTCACCTAAACATTTGGCTTCTGAATTTTGGGTTTTAATTATAATTCATTTATTTTCTTTTTAACTTGTACATGTAGGAGCAGCTTTGACTATTCTGAATCTTCATCGATTACAGTTCTCCCAATCTCAGCTTCCAGCTCATCCATTCCAAAGGCTTTTGTTGTAGACAAGCCCATGTTCAGCCAGATAAGTTGCTTTTAAAACCTGGTTTGCTTTGTGCTGGTTTGGTTTGCCTTTTTAATCATTATGGGTCTGCAGATTATGATTTTATCTGGATTTGCATGTTAGTTGTTGTTTTTTGTTTCCATTTTTATGTTTTCTCTCTTTTTTTGGTTCTTTTTACTGTTTGATGTTTTGTTCTGCTGTTTTTGTTGCTTGGATTAGTTGCAGTTCTGATTCTAATGGTTCTGTTTCTCCTTCTCAGTCTCTGCCTTTACAATAGAGGAGTCTGTCTTGCTACCAAGGTTCTTAGTTGCTTCCGAGGTCTATTTTGCGACTTTGTTCCTGTTCATGTTGGTTTTTAAGTGTTCTCTGTCCTGTGGATATCAACTTCTTCTTTTTCTATTTGTTTTCCAGCTCTTTTTTTGGGTTGTTTCATGTTTCGCTCCTATTGGCTGGTTGTGCTGATTCTCATCTTTTTTTCTCCTTCCTTCTCAGCCTCGAGCTTTTGCTGGGAGGAGGCTGTGTTGTTATAAGGATCATTGGTGCATTTTGGAGGTCTGTTTTCCCATTACTTTTAAGCTATGCTTCCTTGCTTATGCTGGTAGCTCTGTCTGTGCTTTGGTTATGCTTTATTCTTGGCTCATGGGTTTTGAGTTACATGCTGCTTTGATGTTGTTTTTCTGTCCCATTATCCTGCATGATTAGTTTTACATTGGTTTGTTTTGGTTGTGTTGATGGTTGGGTCAGATTTGAGCTGCTATGCATTTTTGTTCTTTGTTTTTTTTTTTTCTGGTTTTGTTTCGTTTTCGTTTGCATCTTGGTTATAGCATTTATGTGGGTACGGCATTGTGTTGGATTGTTCTTTGGTCTGGGGTTATTGACTTCATTCATGTTTTTTTTTTTCATGGTTTTTCTTTGCTTGCTGAGTTTAACCTTGCTTCTGTTGCTGAATTTTTTACCAGGTTTCAGGTTGTTTACTTCAAGTTTCTTTCACCAGTTAGTTGTTGTTTCATCTTTTGATGTTTGGTTGTTATTTCTTCTTTGCTTTTTCCTCTCATTTGCTACACTTCTATTCTGCGCTTTTTCATTATGTTGTTTCACTTTTTTTTTTGGTTGCCCAGTCTTTTTAGAGCTTTAGTTGAGATAAGCTTTCTGTAGTTCTTTTTCTGATGGTTTTTTACCCTCTTTTAGGTCCTAACCTCTCACTAGGAGAGGCTTAGCATTTTAAAGGGTTTCGATTGTTGTTGGTTGGCTTTGGAGTGTCTCTTATTGCTGTTTTTTTCCCCCCTTTTTTTCCTTATTATAGTAGAGGTTTTTGTCTTGGGGTTGATAGTCCAGGTCAAAAACATTTCTGGTTTGTTTCCAGCTTTGTTTTAATCTTCTTTTTTTCAGGTTGGTAGTGTATTTTAACCTGTTATTCATCTCCTTTCTTTACGATATCTGTGCTGCTGGTAGTGTATCTTGCTTTCTTCCTCAAACAGGCTCATTTTTTTCCTTGCTTGGTCTGGTTTTTTGGTTCATGATTTGAATCCCTTATTTAGTGCATTTTCCTCTTGTCTTCTGTTTTCTTGGATGGTTGCTTTCCCTTTGCCTGTCTTTGTTTGGTTCTCAGGCTTTTCTTGCTCAGATACAAACAAAGGAATAGCTTCTCACAATGGAAATGACATGTGCTGATTGTCTGATGGATTGTGTATTGATTTTCCTGGAGATTTCCTTCTGTCAGACAAGTTATTTTTTTCATCCCATGGTGGTTGTAGGATTGCCTTTTGCTCTTTATAATATTCTTGCAATCCTTTCCAGTCTTTTGTATTACTGCAGTCCTCTAATAAATGCTCCTTTTTTGTTTGTCTTCTCATTCTCTGCCTTTGTACTGCGTTTTGATGTTGCATCTTCTCTTCTTTTTTTCCTGCTTTTTGATAACTTGAGTTCTTCACTGTCCTCTAATATGCCTTTTTTATGCCAGTTTTTCTTTACTTATGCTGGGTGTTTTTTACTTCTAGTACACTTTTTTTTCCCCCCTTTTCTCTTCTCTAACATTTCTGCCTTCTGATGATGCAGTTACAATCGATTTTAGAACGTTCTTCTTTGGTCGCCACTTCTGTCAATAGCAAACCTGTTCTCAATTGACAGGTTGGCTGTCGTGTGCTTGGACAGTGTAAGGTTGACCTGATGATATTTGCTTGAAAAGAAAAGGGAGGGAAACATTTGGCAGACTGCAGAGAGGAATTCAGATTCTACTTGTTGCTTTAAGTTGGTCAGCTATAGATGGATAGATACAAAGTGGGGCGGGTCAAACGATAGATTAGCCATCGGTACACGCACATGGTGCCCTTCTGTTTCAGGGGAAGGAAAAATGTCATAAAGCATGAAACCGTTTTATAATGATTAATTTAAAGCACTTCTTTGTTTTCGGTCAAGCCAAAGATAACGCTATTGCAGATACTTATTTTGGAGATATCCATTTAAGCGTAAATGGTGCTTTGTTTGTCATGGTTTCAGATTACGTGAAATGCAGCCCATTAAAGCAGCATGGCCTATTTCTCTTTCTAACTTTGTGTTCCATTCTTCTGTGGTTGGATTTGCTATTCCACGTTGGCCATGATGGTGCTTGCCTTCTCTTCCGTAGATCACTTTCTTTCCATTATCATCAGAACTCTGTTTTACGTTTGGATGCAGGAACAATTAGCGTTGAGCCACACGGCTTTGCAGTCTACAGACTTCCATGGAGGGCCGAGTTTTTTTTTTTTCACCCTGCCCTTTGAGAAGCCTTTCTCAAGACCTCTGCTGCTGCTTCGTCTCAAGCCTGCACACACCATCATCTTGGCAATCTTTTTCCCTTTTCCCTTTGTGCTAATAAGATTATCTGTGCGACCTAAGAACATGCCATGTCATTTAAGAGCCATTGTTGCTGTCGTTTGCAGTTAGATCTTCCTGGAACCTTGCCAAGTCATTGCATTTGTTGCTGTTTTGGGTTTCCCCATGTTAAAGCATGCCTTTTCGGCTTCTTAACTTGCAATCCTGGACATTGTCGATTAGGCATCCTTTTTGGTAGTCCGATCAGCGTTTATTCATGATTCATTCCATGGGGAAGGCGCGACCCAGACACGAATTAGTGTATAAAACTAAATAAAATAGAATAATCTAATAAATCTTAATTCAATTGAAAAACTAAGATTCTAATTTTACAATTATATAATATTTCTATATAGTAAGTACAGAGAATAATCATTTCCCCCTGTCCTTTCTTCGTCGTACTTTCTCCATTTTCCTACTCTGATGCAAGTTTTCAACGCTAGTGCATTAGTTTTACAACGCAGATCCGAGGGTCGGCAATTGATGCAGAGTTTTTCAACCATTCTGCTCGTTGTCTTTTTGAGATCTTCACATCTTATTAGCCAAGGTCATTCCATGCATGCACAGATGGACATGACTGCATCGGATCTGCATAATTATATTGACATGCTATTATATATCATGATCCCTTTCGATATTCTATTTTCTTCTCCTTTCAATTTGCGAGACGAACCTCCTCAAATTTAAATATTCGATCACCTGGTTGTTGACTTGAAATTGAAGCTCAACCTCTTCCTCCGCCGCCGCAGCCGCCACCTCGGCATTATCAATTGATCCGTCATTTATCCAAACTATCAAATAAAAAGTTCATAACATGCATAGATCTCTTTCTACACATAAATGATGAACATCCACAACATGGCTGCTATTGCTTAACTGATTTTCCAAAAGGAACATATCACAACTTATTGGGGACAAAGGTTGCTTTTTACCACACATAATTAGACAACAAATATTATGACTAATAGAGAAGTGGAAAATTAGGAACAAAGGCCATACACTCATCAATCAGAGATATCAGGCCACACCTGAAAGAGCAGCAGGGAAGACAGATTAGGTTAGATCACAGGTTAGACCATGCCACCAATCACATAAACACAAAGAAGAGCGTGACAAAGAAAGCTTTAAATTAATACACAGAGATAACAACTGGCAGCTTGCTTATTCTCTACTTTCTAGTCATGCCATGCAAAATCTCCTTTGCCTTCTCTTAAGCTTCTTCCCCTCCTGTAGTCAATTTCTGCATCAGAGCTCGATAATCCCAAATGATATTTCCTGCTGGTTTTAGATGATGCCATCTTTGAGAATATGTCATCATCGGTCACAACATTACTGGGTGTACTTGATCCAGAGACATTCCCAGGTTGCCATCTTGATTTAGGGTCTGAGTTTACTAAGAAAAAAAAATCCCTGTGAGAGCATATCTAAAAAATTGGATGTCTTGTACATGGTGAGGTAAATTCAAGTATGCACAACATTAACAATCCACATAAAAGTTCAAAGACGTGAGGAGATGGAGGGTGCTCTATTTGTCAAACCAATTTTTTTTTTTTTCTTGTAAAGTGAAAACACATACCCGCACGCAGAGGTTGTTGAGAAAAGTAAAATGTACAAAGATTGCAACATTTTAGGTTATCTGTCAAGAAAAAACTGTCTCAAGTTGAGCGAGCCAACAGCCTCGACTGATAACGTCCCGATATTGTAGAGAACATCCCTTGCCATGTTCTCTTTCTTATCCACCAAAAATCATAAACTTCCCAATCTTTCTAAGCATCAAGAGCTTTTGCCACCACGTTTAAAAGTTTAGAACATCAAATTGAACATAGCAAAAAGGTTTGACTGTTGAGAAAACATAGATTAAAAGTTTGGGAACTTAGATCGCGTCATTGTTCAATGTCACTCTTCTGAGATTCTTTTTTTTTTTTTTCTTTCCTTTGCCCATAATTTCAGAACAAGAAACAAAGAAATGCAGATAAAGTTAAAGAATTCACCTTCATATCTATCAGACGTGACAGGCACTTCACAGCATACTACCCGGTCAGCAAGATCTGATTTCAATTTAAGGCTATTCTGTTTTGGCAAGTTTGCATTTGCTTTTTGACTCTCATTCAGAAATGAAGCTTCCATACTTTCTTCCATGGTAGGTTTAGCTGAAGTAAAAGGAGTCATGCTAAATGTGTCCTCCATTACATCAGAAATCTCTACATATTGAGGAGTAGTGATTATCTCATCAGCACTGAACCCAAACGATGCTCTGTAAGCTTCTAATTCTTCTGCATCTTGCTTGGGACTTTTATTATGCCTGTTCTGGTGTCCATTTCCACTAGCAGGGTAAACATCCGAATCCTTGGAAACACTTAACCTCCCACCAGTATTTGGATTCTGTTCCAGATAAAATCGTGCAAATGTAGCAGGACAGAAGAAATTTGAATCATGTGACACCATGGAGGCACCAGTAGTCTCGTGCCCAAAAAGCCTGCCAGATCCACTCCTTGAATATTTTCCATTTTGGGGAGAAACTGAAGGACCCCACTCCCGGGGAAAACCACGTTCAGGAAAAGACGCTGATAAACAGTCACCTGAAGTCCTAGAAATTGGTGATAGGAGACTGCTGGCAGGACTTCCAGGATAGAGAGAATATGTTGATTGAAGATCAGATGCAACAATGTAATTGTTCTTTTCAGCGCCTTTGAGATCCCTAGATGATGTGAGGAATTGAGCAAAAGGAACGTCTGGGGAAGAGGGCGTAGTTAAGTGAGCCATCTCTGGTGGGGGTGTAAGAGGAGCAGTAGACGGCTCTGTTGTGAAGGTTGAGAAAACGGGAGGAGAAACCAGTTGTGTTTCGTGAGCATAAGGTCCAGTGGCAAACATTGTGGATGAAGGACCCCCAGGTGAGTTGGCAGATAATGAAAGGAAGCAGCTAGGAGACTGAGCAGTAGATGGGAGAGCAGAATTTGTAAATGACGCTGGTGAAGACGGAGGAGCTAGAAGTGATGGAGCTAGTGCTGTAGCTTGATTGGTTAGCCCAACAGGTTGAGGTCCATTTGGCTGGGCTGCTGATGCATTGCCCTCAGGAATTCGAGATGCAGGCACAATACGCTTTCCACCTTTTTGCACGCTGAAACAAGACAATGCTCCCCAGCATCCTCCCCATCTCTTGCGCTGCTCAATATAGCGAAACAATTATAAGTAGATGACAAATTGCTCATGAAAAAGGAAAATCCAATCCAACTGTTAGAAAATTAGTGAAAAGAAATCAAGAGCTAGAGTGTGTAATCTAGATTTTACAAGGAAAATTCAAACGATTATAGAAATAGAATCACCCTGTGCATACATTCATAGCATTTAATACTAAATGGACACAAAAAAATTCTAGCGTGATCCAATTCTGTTAATGCATTATTATCCAGAAAAATAAAAGTTGATCTGGAACACAATAAAAGCAATTACTAGATAAGAGGATTCTTATAATCAGATCTGTGCTGCTTATTTTTTCATTTGATTTATATGAATTTCAATTTCCAATTTATTTCCTCACTTAAGAAGTAATAATAAATAAATGATTAAGATAATATTACAGATCTATCTATCCATCCATCTGAGGAAGGGAGGAAGAGATTGAAACAAAAGGAAGGCCGCAGAGGGCAAATAAGATGGGTAAGAGGCATCAGATCCAGATCTGGGGGACATTCATGTACGTATGTATGTATCTACTAGAAATAGAAATTGAAAGATAAACGTACCTGTTCCTGCTGCTGCTGGGGGAATCTGTTCTGCTCCGACCCCATAACCGAGTCTGACAGATTGATAACCCACACTCACTCGCTACTACTGCTTGCAGCCTTGTCTTGAACTCTACACAACACAGTACTACTACTTCTTCTTCAAGCTGCCATAGATTTGCTTTTTTAGAGCCCTGCCGTGCCCAGTCCAGCTCTCTTTACCTTTCCATTATGGCCCAAACATCCCACTTTCTCTCTTGGCATTGCATTGGCTCATGTTCTCATCTTAAAAACAAACGCCATCTTGAATTTGGATCAGGTTTCGATTTTCAAACGCCAACAGGTATCTACTAATCATTTGTCACTCAACACTCCCTCACAACGTCAGAAACTCTGCGAATTTGGGTCATAAAACTGGAAGCATGCAAATTTTATCAATCCATCTCACAACGGTCCTTTGCTGTCAGTAAATCTTTGAGCCCTGTAGCATGGTTTCTGCTTTGCTTGATCTTTAGTTTTCCTTTTCTTTTATACTAGATTTTGGCTTCGACACTAACCAGAGGCTTCTCAAAATTTTCACTACGAGGATGGATGGATTACAATAAATAATGCGGCGTCACAGCTTAAAGACTACAGTTGTGGAAACAATTAGGAGAGGCCAGATTTGCACATCTGCCATCATAGAGGCAATCACTTGCATACACCGGTCTACCGAAGGCTACGAACCAACGCACCACACTTTTCTCCTTTCTTTCTTTCTTCTTTTTTACAGATCAAAAAACTGGATGTCACCCGGTTAATTCACCCGCCTCTTTTTTATGATAGTGAAAAGGACGACCGAGTAGAACAAGGCATTTTTACGTGTTTTGCTCCGATTAGTAACTTCAAAACCATGTTGTTTCAGTGGTACAAAAGCCATCACCACTATGGAACACACAGTATTGAACTCATGTTATCGAATGTCAAGAGAAACTTCCAATTCTCATATCAATCCTAAATAACCCAACTTCCAATTTGTAGCTTATAATAGTTATTTATATAAATGGTTACTTTCTTAATAAATTTTTTGCCCATTATTCAGTTCATCTGCCAACACGGAATCTTTCAAAAATCCAATAGAAACATGATTCGTGCTTGGAAGCCCGCGAGAACACAGCGCGTCTTTTATTGCCGCAAGGCTCATTATTTATTAACCACACCCTCCTCCTTTGTCCGGGCTTGGGACCGGCTGTGGTGTGCATTACAAACCATGAAACATCACAGGCGGAGTTACTCTTATGCAACTGAAATAGGCAACATACTCTAGATGATCAAACAGATTAAAGTATTTTAAAATCCCTCTTCTTATCAATAAATGGCACGCATACCAAACTGAGGTTCAAACCAAATCACTCCATTTGGTGAAAGTACCATCCACCAACCTTCCTTTGCTTTGTTAGAGCGCTTATTTCCTAGTGCAGTGAGGCAAAGAAAATGGTCATTTCAATCTGTGGTAACACGACTTCTCTGAACTTCTCTTTGCATTTAAATACCAACTCCTACGTTAAAACCTGACCGTTGATTGTGACTGTACGGTCTTATTGACCACCCCCACCCAGAAATAATAATAAAAAAAAAAACCTTCAGCCAATCCCAACACGTTTGGATTGAGATTTGAGTGAATTGAGTTCGGTTTAAAAAATAATAAAAGACAAATTAAACAACCCCCGCTCTTTTTCATTGATTTATTATAAAATGTACATGTATATATAGCAAGTTTCACCGTGATTCAAGTGTTTTGAAATTTGCAATTGCCATTTTGTCGGTACCTTCCATATCTGCACAAAACCAATACAGTGGGCAACGGCGTTAGCATTTATACAAAGAGGGAAGCAGACATGACATACCAGGGGGCATAAGGAAACCTCCGCCCCACCTCATCGGCGACAATGAATCTTTACCTGATGCACTCCTGCAGCCAAAAAGAAATCGAAGGGAAAAGATGAACAATTAAACAGTCGCACCAATTAAATGCCCAAGATAAGCTGTTGTGCGAAGCTATCATATACCCAAGGCTCAAATAGAAAATCAAACAACCAAATTAACGTGGTATGTTGGTCATTAACATTCCTATGGGATTGGGCTTTGGCACATAACCCCCCCCCCCCCCCCCCCCCCCCCCCACTACTTTCTCTT